ATTCAATATTTAAGCATAAGCAGTTTATATCAATCTGATTTTCCCCTCAAAATCATGTGTGTGACATTGTACCAGTAATATTGGGGCACATTTAAATAACAGACTGGTGAAATCATGACTCTTTATGAAGGACTATACTATTGTAATAATTTGGGAAAATCATTTAGGATGTGGGAATTTTGTGGGGAGAGGGGTAAGGGGGAACCCCAGACCCTATGGAATTGTACCATACAGTACAAAATTAAAAAAAAAAATCAATTCAAAGGCAATAGCTTGTCTTAGATGTTGTATTTCTATACATTTTTTTTTTTTTTGCTGTGTCTGTTGTTGGAAATAGTGCTTTCCTTTCAAAAATCTTGACTTTTGGGGTGATCATCCATGAACAGCATGTTAGGTCTATGGTGCCAACATCACTTTGAGTATTGGCTTGTATTCTATCTGCTCCACTTTTGATCTAGCTCTCTGCTGACATACCTGGGAAAGCAGCAAAGTGTGGCCCAAGTGCAGCACCCACATGGGAGACCCAGAGGAAGCTCCTGGCTACTGGCTTCAGACTGGCCCAGTTGTGGCTATTATGACTTTTTGTAATGCGAGCCAGCAAATGGAATCTCTCTCTCTCTCTCTGTCCTTCTATGTAATTCTGAAAAACAAACAAAAACCCTTCACTTGTGCTGAGATTTAGTTGCAGTTCTATTTTCTTGAAGAACTCTTCCATAACTTTATCCAGAATTGGACCTTCTCTTCCTTGAAACTGTCTAACACTCACTTGAAAAGGTAGTGCTGCCTGCAAATGAATGATAGTCTTTTTCTCTTCTAATTCATTTTGATATCTCCCATTATAGGACCTTTGCGTGTGCTATTCTCGTAGTCCTGCTGCCATACTCTACACCTGGTTGTTTATCTAGCCTCAGGTTCTCTGTTCACGTATTTTCACAGAATGAATAAGATTCATCAAACTTAAGTTTTCAAGAAACTGATTCCTAATACAGGTGCTAATCCTTGTGTGATTATTTGTTATTTTGCATTTCCTGTTGGATTACAAACAATGAAGGAGGAGATATTTTGTTTTGGTCATTGTTATTTGTCCTATGGAGAGCATGGTGCCTGGTTTATAACAGACTCAATGAATCTCTTGAAAAATATGTGAATATATTACCTTTTTTTGTTTGTGAATTTCTTTTCTCTTCTTTTTTTTCTCACAGTTCTTTATCTTAAAACTTTTGTATCTTTGCTTTATATTTCCTTTCCATAAACTCTTGGATTTCCCATCCCCTCCTCACCCCAAGTTCCCCTTCCCCTCTAACTTCCCCTTTAATATTAAAATGGGTGGTCTTTTATGAACAGTCATGAGTCCATCATACTCTTAGTGAGGTGTTTCCTGATGTTGTGGGCATTGACAATGTTGAAGAGTCCAGCATCCTACTGTTAGGACAATTTCAACCACTTCACTGGCAGTCCGTCTCCATAGAGACATATTATACTCAGTCTCCACATCTCAGTCTCTTCTACACTTCTATTATACATCTTCCTAGATACAGAGTCAGTGAACACACTTCACAACTATCTATGAATTGCTAAAGGAAGAGAGTGGACCTTATGAATTAGTTAACCCTGGATACTAAAATATGTAATAGTTAGTTTCCAAAGGAGAAAAGTGGGTACTTTGTCTACCTAACCAGGTGTGGCCAACTAAACCAGCAGTTAAGATGATTAAGATATTGATTGCTATGTCCATGACCAGTATCTCAGTACCTGGGCTGCATTCCTGATTCCAGATCCCAACTCCAGCTGTGGTGCTGGTTTAAGTAATCTAATTCCTACCACTTTGGTAGGAGACCTGTGGTTCCTGGTTTTGGCCTAAACATTACCAACATGATACAAAGCACTTGGGAAATGAATCAGCAGAAGGAAGACACCTCTTTCTTTCTGTATCCTCCACTCCTTAATGTAAAAAAAAAAGTCTCTACATAATGTAAATCATGAGAAGAACATCAATCTTTAGCCAAATAATTTTTAATGGGGATAAACGCAAGGTGATACAGAAAGCATGCAGTTAGGCACAATAATTCAGAGTAACTATTTAAATTCTTTAATTCCTGTTGAAAATGGAATCATTGCCAACAAAGCCCCTGTTACATTCTTTATGTAGTAAAATAAAATGCATTTAGAAATATAGGAATGATGAGGAAAGGAAACTAATATTGACCACACTCGTACTGAAGCTGTTTATGAAGATGGAATATAATTTTGCTGGCCTATTTATGAGTTAAAAATATACATTATTTTTATTTGGCCCATTTTTCATTTTACACTCCCCTGGGAGTCCAGTGTAACAGTGGCTCATTGTTAACTCCCTTCTCTTGTTCCATACTTTCCAGCCACTCAGGTTGAATGGGAACAAAAGTCACTTTGCTATTGTCAGCAGCCCTGGAGCGCACTGACTCTCCCAGAAGCGGGAGAGGGAAAAGCCCCATGCAGAGGACTTTCCATTCTTAGCTACACCTAGTTGCTTTGGCCTGAGGGGCTAATCAAGTATTATAAACACTGATTAAGTAAGGTAGGTCATTTTCATCACCAATTTCCAGCGAGGGAAATGGAGGCACCACACATGGGAATGACATTTGCCGATGCAGGAAGACAATTTGCTGGGGCTTAATTCCTTCCTCTTGCAAATACCAGCAGAGCGCTGTGGAGTTTGACATAGTTTGAATACTACTCAAACAGGTCACATTCGAGGGCTGGGGTGCCTCTTTTAAACTTCCTGTTTGGCTGCTATATATACACTTGCAGTCCTGAAATCCGTGAGAGAAACACTGGACAGCTCCCATCCTAACATCTAATAGTCCTTGCTAGACAGAATGAAAACATTGATTACAAACAGCTTTGCCAATGTTACTCGACAAGAAAAAGCAAAGAATATTCACCAAAACAAGTGAAATGTCAGTCAGAGCTCAAATATATTAAAACAGGTTAGGCTGTATTACTTCCTTAGATTAGAGATTAACTGGTTTCTAATTAATCCTGAGAATGCACAATAAGCTAGAATGGCTGGCTTTGTGACTGAGAAATAGTCTTTCTTCCAACTTTGTTGGTAACTTTTCATTTGGAGACAGTTGCTATGGTCATGTGACACAGATGGTAGCAATTGTTTGGAAAGCTACTTGGTTGGAAATTGAAAGAAGGGTAGCATAAAAATTTTCCTTTATTTCTCAATGAGATACAGTCTGTAATGTGTTAAAACAGGCTGCAAGTTGAAAGGGAAAAGTAAAAAACCTGCATTTTATGCACTCACTTTTTGACAGTCCCATGCCCATCCGTGTTTGCATCTCCACTGTACTTTATAGGAATGTTTCAAAGAAATCAAGTTGTATGTCAGTGTGGGTGGGAGGCAGGGAGAAAGCAGAGGATTCAGTGAAGAGGTAAGACTTGGGAGGTGGGTTGCAAGCTTCATGGCAGGGAAGGCATCCTTGAAAACCACTGAACTTGGTGAACTTCTATGGCACATTCCTAGCTCATCTTTCCATTGGATTTTCTGAAGTTCTCTGTGAAGCTAGTCACTCCATGTGGATTCATAGGGTCCTTAGAGGAGACACCCTCCCAATGACACTGCATAGATTTTTACTTTAGAAAATACAGCTCAAAGAATAGCAACATGGTCATCAGTATTCTAGTCCTCACCCCAGACCTCCAGAGCTGCACGGGTGATTTTGGCAAGATTCCTGAGTGATTCATATGCATTTGGTAATTTGGGAATATTTGTTCTAGATAAAACTGCATTTTCTATGGATTAAGGAGCTGTGGCATCTGGGGAATTACCATCTCCAGTCATGTGGCAATTAACTAATCATAGCCTACAATTCTGCTTCTCCTAGCAGAGCACTCTTTTTCTACATTATACTGCCTGCCTCAAACCTTGAATTGAGTAATTTATGTATTTGTGTTAACTAGTCAAAAAGACAATGGCCTGTTACAGACATGGAAGCTCTGGTTTCCACGATTGCTGATAAAATGTTCAGAAACACTTGATATGATGTTTGTGTATTTAGTATGTACACAACTAACACCACTAATAATAACATTCTACTATTATTTTACTCTAATAATGATGTCAATTATAAGAATTTTAATTATTATTGGTTTTGCCAGGGGGGAAATAACTAGTTGAAAATGGCAGAAGTTTTCATGAAGGGCATCGGGATTGTTTCCATGTCTTTGCTGTTGTGGGTTGTAGTGTTATAAATATAAGATTACAGGCCACTTTCTGATATGCAGAGTTCATTTCCTTTGGATATATTCTCAGAATGCGATAGCAGGGTCACACAGCATTTTCAGTTCTCTTAGTACTCTCCACGTTGACTTCTATAATGGCTGTATTAGTCAACTCTCCCATCATGAGTGATGGAGCACAACTTTTCTCCGCAAATTCACACCAGCAGGTGTGGACGATGTAGTAGAGTTCTGAATGAAGCCAAGTCTCACAGGAGTTAGGTGAAACATCAATGTGGTTTTCATCTGTATTTCCCTGATAACTAGGGAGTCTGGGCATTTTTTTCATATGTCTATTAGCTATTTGAATTTTTGGTTTTGAAAAATGTCTGTTCATTTCCTTTGCCCATTTCTTCTCAGTGTTGTTTGTTTTGGTGTTGTTGAGTTTCTGGAGCTCTTTGTACATTCTGGATATTATTCTTCTGCTGTTTGTATAGTGTGAAAAGAGGAGTGGATAAAGAAACTGTGGTACATCTACTCTATTTAATTTTAAAAAGAATGGAATGCTAACATTTGCAACCAAGTGGTCCCAAATAGATACCATTATGCTCAATGAAATAAGCCAATTAAAAGGACAAATATCATATGTTCTCTGTGACCATAAGGCAACCTTCATGCAAAATGCAAGGTCAACAGATATAAACAAACATGTACATACAGTCATTTAGAGGAACCATCATATCATTCCAATTTTAGCATATGTGCTGCCAAAGCAAGCACAGGACTATCATCTCAAAATGTGAGTTTATAGGGCAGCCTGCATCTCCTTGTGCAGGGACCATGTTAATCTTCTCTGTATTGTTCCAATTTTAGTACATGTGCTACTGAAGCGAGCACGCACTCTGCATCTCTACTTCCAGATTGGAGATGGACTCCCAATCAAACTTGCATATATTTTGACAATAGGATGCTGAACTTTGTTATTGTCCATACCTAAAATGTTAAGAAATAGTGGGATGATGTACTTATGACTGTTTTTAGAAGGACTATACTAGTAATTATAATAATATAGGGAAAATCAGTTGGGGGGATTTTGGTCAAGAGCAATGGAAATCCCAGGGACTATGGAACTGTATCATACAATTAAATCCAAGTAAAAGTAAAAATAAAAGTTGTGTAAAGGATGTGAAGTAGCTTTTGACTGACCAGGAAATGACATGGACTGGTATGATAAAACTGAGTTTACTTTTCACTTGGATTCCTGCTAGAAGACAGAAGATGATAAGTTGCTGGAGCTTCCACAAGTGGAACTCAAGTTTTTTTTAAACACAAGAAATGGGTAAGGTTAAGAAGTGAGGAGTTATTTGAAGATTCTACCATTTTCTTTGGCAGGGATATCTAAATTCTTCTGCTAATAACAGCCTCAACCATTGCAGATAAACAAGAGATAACTCAGGGACTGACCAGCCACCTCTCTGCCATGAATGCATTGATTTTGGTCCTGCTTTCTTCTCCTCCTTTCTATTTACTGAGTAGCTAGCCCATGCCAGGCACCAGGATACATGCACACAACACAATAGCAATCTTGTCACAAGGCAGACGGATAGACTAGGTACTCTGAGGTTTGAGGGATGAGACCAAATGAAAGGAGCCTATGAGGTAATAAGAGATGGTTTGATTAAGAATAATACTTAGGGAGCACCCAGAATAACTGCATGCTGTAATGGCACATTCCACGTCTGGTTATTTCTTTCAAATAGTAGACTGTGGGTAGGGAAGTTGTCATTAGGGACTCGGGCACCCCATAACAATGCTTCAGTCAACGACAGATCCCATATACAAGAGATAAGGTTATAATGTAGTTGGAAATTTCTTATTGCCCAGTGACATTACAAATGTTGCAATGTCACAGCACAATATAGTACATATGTATTAGTGTTGATGCTGGTATAAACAAACCTATCATGGTTTCAGCTGTCTAATAGCAGAGTGATAATATTGGGTACGGTATATATTTAATATTTGATAATTATAAGAAGCAACCATGTTACTAGGTCATGTATTTACACTCATTTTTTTTAGAAATCGTTAATCATACTCATTTGAGGAATGTACCAAAAACATCGAGCTGTGTTGTACTGGAAGCAGGCTCATATCTCTTCTAATTTTATGAAGAAGACACATGGATCCACAGCACTCCTATCTGTTGAAGCGTGCTATGATGTTGGCACACTGAGGAAACCAGATCATGACATGCCTATTAGTGTTTGTCCCCAGTGGTAAGCAACAATTGCCCACATTGGAGTTGGCCCTTGTAGACTAAGTAGCGATTCACTTGGTGTTGAAATGTACAGATTCTGCATGTTAGAAGACGTGCCTAAAATAGCGGCAGGGGATTCGATGGGGATATGCCGAGATCAGCACATATATGTGATGAATCTTGAGGCTCACAGAACATAGCCTGGAGTGATCCTAGAAGATAAATTGAATTTCGATTTTCAAGGTCCTGAGTGTACTGCTAAATTTTCTGGCCTCTGTGTTCCTCTTTGAAAAGTCTTAGATATTAAAGAAAGGTAAGCAGATTTAATTTTCAGGACATATTTCTGGCTTGTTAGCTGTGAGAAGTGGGAGATAGGAAGACTATTTTATAATACTATTGATACAGTGTAGCACGGGTAGTAAAACCCTTGATAGAAGGAAGGAACTGATAAGCCGGACAGAGAGCTCACCCCTTCCTTTCCTGTGTCCCCTGAGAAAGGCAGAGAAAGAGCTACTTGACCTAAGAGCCACACTGGGGATTCATGCAAGTTAACCTTTATGCCATTCCCCTTGCTTGCACATAAATACAAAAAATATTATTAGAATAAAAAGGAAATTAGGAATTGGAAATTAGGTATATACATAGCAAGAGTCAAAAGTTCATCTCATTTTTTGCTCCTTAGATAATAAAATTGGCAACAATTTATGTTTTAACCAACATTCTCACTTGCATGTTTGTGTTTTTTTCACCTAATGAGCGAGTTAGAACTGCAGTGCCTATAAAGGGAACTCGAAATGTTTCCTAAAAGAATTGAAAAATAAATCTATTTTAGGGCCAATATTGCGGTATAGCCGGTTAAGCCTCAGCTTACCGTGTTAGCATCCCATATTTGGGTATTGATTTTAGTCCTGGATACTGCACTTCCAATGTAGTTATTCCAATCTCATGTTCTCGTAAAGGCAGTAGAAGACGCTCTAAGTACATTGGCCCCTACCCCTTATGTGGGAAACCAGGACGGAGTTCCTGGTTTCTAGCTTTAGCCTATCCCAATTCTGGCTGCTGTGGCCTTTTGAGGACTGAAACAGCTGCTGGAAGATTTCTGAATTTCTTTCTGACTCTTCTCTTTCCCTTTTTCTCAAATAAATAAACATTTTAAATGCATAATTTTGTTGTAATACGTATCTTCCCATGCACTCTGAAGATCTTTCCCATATGGAACTTTTTTTTTGCTAGAAGCAGTTGGAATGTTGCTTTTTTAGAACCTTCCACTTCTGGATGTAGGACGACAGATTTAGAGCCAGGGAGTATGACCAGAAGCAAAAATCAGCACTGCTAGTAAAGAAGATGCTAAAGTTACTTACTTTAGAGTCGGTTTTGGAAATTGGAGATCTAAATTATGTATGTCCAAGTGAAGGTAGGAGTTTGGTTCCAGTATTAGATTCCTGTGGAGGAGAGATTAAGGTCAGTGCTGAGTTGTGCCCATGGGTCTACAGAGACATGATTACCACCATGCTACAGATTGCAGCAAGAATTCTATTTTACTTGAAAAGGTTGGACCACTGTTACGTCTTGTTCCTAAATCACAGAGTCTAAATAGCAATGTCATGTTTAATTTGGTTTTGATTAAGATTTTGGGTTTGAAACGAAAGACACTCTGAAATTGAACCTTTCGTCTCTGACAGGTGTACCATACAGTAAAAACCTTGTTCATGTGAGAAAAGCAAAGGTACGGTCATTCATAAAGTGTTAGAGGTCTGAATTACTGGATTTGGGGAAAGGAATTCTGAAACCATGGAGCCAAATTAGGCAATTACTAATGGTATGTATTTACAAGGGCAACTTCTACTGGGGCCAGAATGACAATTTTGTAAATTTTGTGTTTTAACTTTTAAACTGATTAAAAGTTAATCAGTGCTGGCATACTTCCTTCAATTACATATTAGTGAAATTACATCATGTTAGAAAGACACAGTCTTTCAAAGCAGATATATGTGTTAAAATTGTTATTACTCTGTTCACTAGATACCTGATTTAGAGCACTGTATTTAGCCATTCCGCATTTTTATCACTTATTTTTACCCACAATGTAATAAAATCCAATCAATTGGAAAATCATGTGGACAAGTTCAGATAATGGATGAAAAGTGTCCCATAAAAGCAAACACAAATCCTTTTCTTTGCGCCTTTTCTCACAGATTAAAATGTGCTTTATTGTAAACACATTAAGGAAACATCATCAGTTTGTTGTAAGCACATATTGGATGCTTGACTTTAAATGGTTTTAATAACTTATTTTATTATCCCATGATGCAGGTCTATAGCTTCCAGGATTTCCCCCATCTCTCGCCAAATTCCTGCCCCATTCAACTAACTTCTCCAATGTCATTACAACAGTCTAGTACTTCAAGTCAGTCATAAGGCCATGATTCGGCTATTTAAGTGCATCCTGACATTGTAGGCATGGGCATTGTCAAAGAGGCGAGCTTCCTGTTGTCAAGACACATGTAGCAGTTTCGTTGGGAGTCCAACTTGATTTGGAAGTAGAGATGCACCCTGCTTTATGTCTTCACCTTTGTATGTGATAGTCTCTACTACACAGTTAATATACATGCCCTTAAATGAAAAATGATAAAATAAAATCAACAGCAGAGGGAAAAATAGAAAATTTATAACATGAAGTCAAATAGCATGCTGCTGAGTGACCAATGTGTGGCTGAAGAAATAAAAAAAAAAAAATCAAAGACCTTGCAGAAGCAAACTCTGCTATTGTATGACATGAGTAAGTAAGGGAATTAACAGGAAAAACAAAACCCTTTTTTGAATGAATTAAAACTAAAATTAAAATATCAAACCACCTGAGATGTAGCAAAAACAGTATTGAAATGGATATTGATTTCATGTCTTGCATGAAGGTTGCCTTTTAACATAGAGAACATACGATATTTGTCCTTTGGAGATTGACTGGTGTCACTCAGCATAATGGTCTCTAGTTAGAACCATTTGGTTGCGAATGGTAAAATTTCATTGTTTTAAATGGCTGAGTAATACTCCATGGAGTGAATGTACCAGGTTCTTTCTCCACTGCTCTTTTGACTGGCAGCTGGGTTGTTTCCACGTCTTTGCTGTTGCAGATTGTACTGCTGTGAACATAAGAGTACAGATCCCTTTCTTACATGAAAATTTTATTTCCTTTGGATATATTCCCAGTAGTGGGATATTTGGGTCATTTTCAGTAATCTTGGCACTCTCCACACTAACTTCCACAGTGGTTGTACTAGCTTACACTCCCACCAGCAGTGAAGGAGGATATCTTTCTCCCAATATCGATACCAACAGGTGTTGCTAACAGGGTTGTGAATGTAGGCCAATCTCACTGGAGTTAGGCAGACCCTCAAAATGGCTTCAGTTTGTACGTTTCTGACAGCTAGGGAGCCTGGGAATTTATTCACATGTCTATTAGCTATTTGAATTTTTGGTTTTGAAAAAATATCTGTTCATTTCCTTTGCCCATTGCTTCACAGGGTTATTTGTTTTGGTGTTGTTGAGTTTCTGAAGCGCCTTGTACATCCTGGATATTAATCCCTGATTGGTTGTGCAATGTGAAATAATTTACTCCCATTCTGATGGTTGCACCTTT